GTGACGGCGTTGCGATCGCGCACCCGTGCAATTGTGTACAGTACTGTGCGGCGCGTACGGGCATACGAGGCGACTTTCGGTGGTGCCCAGTGCTCGCGTACCCGTGATATCGCTCACAATAGTGCTTAGCGATCGCGTACCTGGGTGGCTGTGTTGCGGTCACGCACCCGCACAATTGTCTAATCGCGAAGTAGCGGGTTAAAGCGCCGAGCGCGGCGCGTGTTCGCGCGACCGTTTGAGCGGGGCCTTTAACTCAGAGCTGAGCGAGCGTCCCCAATCGGCGGCGCACGCACGGCAGAAACCCCGCCCGCCCATCCCCCGGCTCCAACCCCCTCGCGTGCGATTGGTGTACGGGGCTGGGCAGAGGGTAGGGGCGTGTTTGTTATTGTCGGCACACGTGGAGCGCGGGTGGGAGGGAAACACGCGCCGCGCCTGTTTGTTTACGGGCGGGACGGAGATTTTACTGGCGAGCGGGCTTACAGCGGCACGCCGCCTCTGAACGGCAAAGCGCACCGCGAGCGTAAACACAGACCGCTGCGTCAATTGAAACATGGTGACGCGGGCAGCCGCAAAGTCGGGGGCGCAAGGGGGCGAGGAATTGGGGGTCGGTAGCCCGGACCCCACAGAGCAGCCGGGGGGGTAGTGGGACGAGTGTTACGGGGGAGTCGGAGAGCAATGGTCGCGACAATACGGTGATGGCGGGGGACGGTAGCCCCCACACACTGCCTATCCTTGCTTCAGATATGTATTCAAGAATGCTTCTTGGTTACATGTTTTGTTTATAATACAAACTAAAAAATTATCACTTTTTTTTCGTAGGCCCTTTTAGTTTTCGTAGGCCCTAGGCACAGTCCTTACTGTGGCCTATTGGATAACATGGCCCTGGTGAGCGGGTGAGTGAGTGAGGTGAGTGAGTGAGCTGAGTGAGGCGAGTGAGGTGAGTGGGTGGGTGAGTGAGGTGGGTGAGTGAGGTGAGTGAGTGAGGTGGGTGGGTGAGGTGAGTGAGGTGAGTGAGGTGGGTGGGTGAGGTGAGTGAGTGAAGTGAGTGAGGTGGGTGAGTGAGGTGAGTGAGGTGGATGGGTGAGGTGAGTGAGGTGAGTGAGGTGGGTGGGTGAGGTGAGTGAGTGAGGTGGGTGAGGTGAGTGAGTTGAGTGAGGTGAGTGGGTGAGTGAGTTGAGTGAGTGGGTGGGTGAGCGAGTGAGGCGAGCGAGTTAGGTGAGCGAGTGAGGTGAGTGAGGTAAGTGAGTGAGTGAGGTGAGTGAGTGAGATGAGTGAGATGAGTGAGGTGAGTGAGGTGAGTGAGGTGAGTGAGGTGATTGAGTGAGGTGAGTGAGGTGAGTGAGGTGAGTGGGTGAGCGAGTGAGTGAGGTGAGCGAGTGAGGTGAGTGAGTGAGGTGAGTGGGTGGGTGGATGAGTGGGTGAGTGTGTGAGTGAGCGGGTGAGTGAGCATCCCAAGAATATACCCTTAAATTCACACCCATCGACTTGCAGAGACCTTTAGACTCATCCAGAGATCTACAGGTTCACATACAGAATCATACACCTACAGCAACCCACATAGAGATCTATAGTTTAACATACAGAATCATACACCCACAGCGACCAATACTACATATATAGTTTAACATACAGAATCACACTTACAGCGACCAATACTTACATTTATAGATTCACATACAGAATCATACACCCACAGCAACGCACACAGAGATCGATAGTTTAACATACAGAATCATACACCCACAGCAACCCATACAGAGCTCTATACTTTAAAATACAGAATCATACACTCACAGAGACCCATACTGTTATCTATAGTTTAACATACAGAATCATACACTCACAGAGACCCATACTGTCATCTATAGATTCACATACAGAATCACTCACAGCAACACATACTGTCATCTATAGTTTAACATACAGAATCATACACTCACAGAGACCCATACTGTCATCTATAGTTTAACATACAGAATCATACACTCACAGAGACCCATACTGTTATCTATAGTTTAACATACAGAATCATACACTCACAGAGACCCATACTGTCATCTATAGATTCACATACAGAATCACTCACAGCAACACATACTGTCATCTATAGTTTAACATACAGAATCTTACACTCACAGAGACCCATACTGTCATCTATAGATTCACATACAGAATCACTCACAGCAACACATACTGTCATCTATAGTTTAACATACAGAATCATACACTCACAGAGACCCATACTGTCATCTATAGTTTAACATACAGAATCATACACTCACAGAGACCCATACTGTTATCTATAGTTTAACATACAGAATCATACACTCACAGAGACCCATACTGTCATCTATAGATTCACATACAGAATCACTCACAGCAACACATACTGTCATCTATAGTTTAACATACAGAATCATACACTCACAGAGACCCATACTGTCATCTATAGTTTAACATACAGAATCATACACTCACAGAGACCCATACTGTCATCTATAGTTTAACATACAGAATCATACACTCACAGAGACCCATACTGTCATCTATAGATTCACATACAGAATCACTCACAGCAACACATACTGTTATCTATAGTTTAACATACAGAATCATACACTCACAGAGACCCATACTGTCATCTATAGATTCACATACAGAATCACTCACAGCAACACATACTGTCATCTATAGTTTAACATACAGAATCATACACTCACAGAGACCCATACTGTCATCTATAGTTTAACATACAGAATCATACACTCACAGAGACCCATACTGTTATCTATAGTTTAACATACAGAATCATACACTCACAGAGACCCATACTGTCATCTATAGATTCACATACAGAATCACTCACAGCAACACATACTGTCATCTATAGTTTAACATACAGAATCATACACTCACAGAGACCCATACTGTCATCTATAGATTCACATACAGAATCACTCACAGCAACACATACTGTCATCTATAGTTTAACATACAGAATCATACACTCACAGAGACCCATACTGTCATCTATAGTTTAACATACAGAATCATACACTCACAGAGACCCATACTGTTATCTATAGTTTAACATACAGAATCATACACTCACAGAGACCCATACTGTCATCTATAGATTCACATACAGAATCACTCACAGCAACACATACTGTCATCTATAGTTTAACATACAGAATCATACACTCACGGAGACCCATACTGTCATCTATAGTTTAACATACAGAATCATACACTCACAGAGACCCATACTGTCATCTATAGTTTAACATACAGAATCATACACTTACAGCAACCCATACAGAGATCTATAGATTCACATACAGAATCATACACCCACAGTGACCCATAGAGATCGATAGTTTAACATACAGAATCATACACCCACAGCAACCAATACAGAGATCGATAGTTTAACATACAGAATCACACTTACAGCGACCAATACTAACATCTATAGTTTAACATACAGAATCACACACCCACAGCAACCAATACAGAGATCTATAGATTCACATACAGAATTATACACTAACAGAGACCCTAACAGATATCGATAGTTTAACATACAAAATCATACACCCACAGCAACCCATACCGACATCTATAGTTTAACATACAGAAGCATACACTCACAGGGACCCATACTAGAGATTGATAGATCCACGTACAGAATCACACTCAGAGACCCATACTGACATCTATAGATTCACAGAGACCCATAGACTCAGGCAAACATCTGTATGAAGGAGGCATCATCAAAGCAATACACATTGCTACTCCTGACACAACTATCTGGCTCAACTACTTCAACATAAAATTACTTTGTAATGTTGCCATTTTGGCGTTGTCTGGTATAACACTGGTGGTGAGACTAGGCCACAAAGAAGGTTGTCTCTGGTGTAGGCCAATCAGTTTCAAAGACAATGTATTATCATAGCGTTTCTCTTTGCATGTTTTGCCAAAGGTATGTGTGGTTAATGCAGTCCCTTGATGCCAAGAAAAAGGTTTCTATTTGATGCATGAACATCTTAACGCCTACTGTTTTATTGCCAGAAAGGGTATAAAAGCTATTATTATTCTTCCATAATTTTTTTAATACTACCCAAATAAATGTCCCACAGGTAAGATTACAGTTGTTGCTACAACATCAGCCACACGAAGAAGGCGAACACCAATGAAAGATCGGCAAGTGCAATTTCTCAAAAGTCAAATACTAATCGGATTATTGTTCATCTCGCTGATCATTCGCAACAACTTGAAGCTCTAAGGCCCCGGCGCGTTCCCACGCTCGGTGGTCAGCAGCAGCTGGTGCCCCGGTGGACACGCAGATTGTGGAGGAGCCATCGCTACCTTAACACGCAGCAGCAGGAGGCTTTGGCGACCAATATCCATAATAGAGGGGGGGGGGGGTTGGGGGTGGGGACCATAGTCACGGAGCAAACGGCGATGTGAAGAACATTTAACCAAATGATCATAAACTTGGGTTGACTTGTTCGAATTCCGAGCGTCGGTTATGACGCTGATGAGGCACACCGCACCCGATTGTTTGGTCTGCATTTGAAACTGTGTGTTGTCAGGGATTACGTTGGGTTATACTGGTAGGAACCTCCTGGTTACACCACCAGCCCACAGGGGATTATTGTGTCCGTCCGTCCGTCGTGCATCCAAAAATGGGAGTGGGGCTGGGTGGGTGGGTGGGGAGGGGAGGGAGGGGCTGGGTGGGTGGGGAGGGGAGGGTGGGGTGGGTGGGGAGGGGAGGGCTGGGTGGGTGGGGAGGGGAGGGTGGGGTGGGTCGGGAGGGGAGGGTGGGGTGGGTGGGGAGGGTGGGTGGGGAGGGGAGGGTGGGGATGGGCTGGGTGGGGAGGGTGGGGCTGGGGCTGGGTGAGAGGGGTGGGGCTGGGTGGGGCTGGGTGGGGAGGGGCTGGTCACCCCGTGGTGCCCTTATAAAACTCAACGTGTAACCTACTCACGCCGGCTTGTGCCCGCCCTCACAGTCGGGCATATTTGCGGAATACACCACGTGGTGCCGCCGTTGACCCTGGCCATTGACCGAGCAACCCAACGTTCCTACCAGCTCCCTCCGCTGGAGAATGTGTTGCGCTAGCTGTGGTGTGAAGTGTAACGGCGGTTGTGGTTGTGGTGGCTACGTGGTTGCGGCGGATACAACGGTGGTTGTGGTATCGGTCGTGATGTCGGTCGAGATGTCGGGAGTGATGTTGGTAGTGGTGTCGGTTGTGATGTCGGTCGTTGTATCGACTGTGATGTCGGTAGTGACGTCGGTAGTGACGTCGGTCGTGGCGCTGCTGGTGGGGTTTGGCTTGGGCCGCCTCTTTGAAGGCACGAGCCCTCCGTGTTTGACGTGAAGATTCGGGTTCAATCCTCGCACCTGTTCATGCAGCTCCTCAAAATCAGCGTTCACATGGATTGCCTAAACAAACACACAGAGACAAAGGTTACTGGGTGGCCTTAGCAAACTGTTGGGGTTAAGTGCGGTTTAATGAGCACCCATGAAGGCCGGTACACGGTGCCAATAGCGCTGTTAACACGTGAACGGTCACGTGTGACGTGGCCTGGTGGTCGCGCGTTCGCCACTCGCTGCGGAGGCTCACGCGTACCAGACAGACTTAAGAACACCGACCCTGAGCGCACCCACATCCAGCGAGACATCAAGCCGCATAGAGTGTCCGCGGCGCAACGAGAAGGCACCGCTGCTCTTCACAGGTAGACGCTGCAAGCACGATTTTTTTACATTCACAAACGACCAATTCACAGGATCCATGGGGCCGTGGTGAAAAACAACCCGACACTCGGAGCCGGTCGCTCACCGTGAAGTCCAACCTCTCAAGCGCACACGATGAGTTCTTGGCGGCCGTGAGGATCGCAAAGCACCCAGCTGACTGCATGGGGTTCCTGCCCATCTGTGCAAGGACACGTGCATGAGGCACGGGAGGCATGGAGGTACAAACAGGGACATGTGGACATGAAGACACAAGGGAAATTGGAGACAAGATCTTTGGGGTCACGGAGACGCAGGCACACGGGGTCATGGGGTCACCGATACACAGGAAGACGCAGGATCATGAGGACACGGCAACACAGAGACACGGATGATATGATATAATAAAACCACCACCGTGATCAGGGATCGGGTGTTGTGATGAGATAGCTGAGCGTTGTGTATGTACGTGGTCGTGTGCTGCAATGAGGTGTGATGAGATGAGTTGAGTGATGAGTTGAGTGATGAGGTGTGTGTGTGCGTGTGTCTAGGTGAGTGTGATGCGATGAGCGACGAGGAGAGTGACAGGGTCTCACGGAGAGAGTCCGCAGGGTGGAGTTGAGCTGCAGGCACTTGGCGAGGAGGACTGCGCCCTCGGGGTTGATGCGATTGTTACTGGAGATGGGGGGGGGTGGGGTCGGGTGGGGGGAAGAGGGAGGGGGAGGGAGGGAAGGTTGGATGAGGGGTGGGGGGGACACATCAGATGTCAGCAGCAGTGAAGACACGAGGAGGAGCAGAGTCACCTTGTCAAGTCACTGAGTTTCATGCCACCGTGTCGGTGCCACCGTGTCGGTGCCACCGTGTTGGTGCCACCGTGTCGGTGCCACCGTGTCGGTGCCACCGTGTCGGTGCCACCGTGTCGGTGCCAGTGTGTCGGTGCCAGTGTGTTGGTGCCACCGTGTTGGTGCCACCGTGTTGGTGCCAGTGTGTTGGTGCCTCAGTGTGTTGGTGCCAGTGTGTTGGTGCCAGTGTGTTGGTGCCAGTGTGTTGGTACCTCAGTGTGTTGGTGCCAGTGTGTTGGTACCTCAATGTGTTGGTGCCAGTGTGTTGGTGCCAGTGTGTTGGTGCCAGTGTGTTGGTGCCTCAGTGTGTTGGTGCCAGTGTGTTGGTGCCAGTGTGTTGGTGCCAGTGTGTCGGTGCCTCAGTGTGTTGGTGCCAGTGTGTTGGTGCCAGTGTGTTGGTGCCAGTGTGTTGGTACCTCAGTGTGTTGGTGCCAGTGTGTTGGTGCCAGTGTGTTGGTGCCAGTGTGTTGGTACCTCAGTGTGTTGGTGCCAGTGTGTTGGTGCCTCAGTGTCACCTGACGTTGAGCTCCTCGAGGACGTCGTTCGTCTTGAGCGCTGCCCCCAGTGCCGACGCTCCCTCCTTGCCCAGGCCATTGCTCGACACGTCGAGCACACGCAGCACCACGTTCGCCTGGACACACAAAGACAAACATCCCCCGTGTAGCCTCAACAGACTGTTAGGGCAAGTGCTGTTAGTGAGTAGCAGCACCTTTTAAGGTCGGCACGGTGGCACACGAGGGGGTGGTGTGGCCAGCACCACGCCCGGCCGCCTTTGTCTCCCCATTGGTGATGTTTACTGCACACCGCTACACCAGGTACTAATTTGTGGCTGAATCGACCTAGAGGAGGCCCAGGACCAGTTTAGAAAACCGTGACTTTTGTTTGCCATGAGCGGGAATCAAATTCCGCTACAGATAGAGATATATGCACATCTCTATCTGGTTGTGTACCTGGCTGTGTATCTGTGTGTGTATCTGGTTGTGTATCTGGTTGTGTACCTGGTGTGTATCTGGTTGTGTACCTGGGTGTGTAACCTGGGTGTTTACCTGGTTGTGTACCTGGTGTGTATCTGGTTGTGTATCTGGTTGTGTACCTGGTGTGTATCTGGTTGTGTACCTGGGTGTGTAACCTGGGTGTTTACCTGGTTGTGTATCTGGTTGTGTACCTGGTGTGTATCTGGTTGTGTATCTGGTGTGTATCTGGTTGTGTACCTGGTTGTGTATCTGGTTGTGTACCTGGTGTATATCTGGTTGTGTATCTGTGTGTGTATCTGGTTATGTATCTGGTTTTGTACCTGGTTGTTAACCTGGTGTGTATCTGGTTGTGTACCTGGTGTGTACCTGGTGTGTATCTGGTTGTGTATCCGTGTGTGTATCTGGTTGTGTATCTGGTTGTGTACCTGGTGTGTATCTGGTTGTGTACCTTGGTGTGTAACCTGGGTGTTTGCCTGGTTGTGTATCTGGTTGTGTATCTGGTTGTGTACCTGGTGTGTATCTGGCTGTGTACCTGGTGTGTATCTCGTTGTGTACGTGGTTGTGTATCTGGTTGTGTACCTGGTGTGTATCTGGTTGTGTATCTGGTGTGTATCTGGTTGTGTACCTGGTTGTGTACCTGGTTGTGTACCTGGTATGTATCTGGTTGTGTATCCGGGTGTGTATCTGGTTGTGTATCCGTGTGTGTATCTGGTTGTGTACCTGGTTATGTACCTGGTGTGTATGTGGTTGTGTATCCGTGTGTGTATCTGGTTATGTACCTGGTTGTGTACCTGGTTGTGTACCTGGTGTGTATCTGATTGTGCATCCGTGTGTGTATCTGGTTGTGTACCTGATTGTGTACCTGGTTGTGTACCTGGTGTGTATCTGGTTGTGTATCTGGTGTGTATCTGGTTGTGTATCCGTGTGTGTATCTGGTTGTGTACCTGGTGTGTATCTGGTTGTGTATCCGTGTGTGTATCTGGTTGTGTACCTGGTTGTGTACCTGGTTGTGTACCTGGTGTGTATCTGGTTGTGTATCCGTGTGTGTACCTGGTGTGTACCTGGTTGTGTACCTGGTTGTGTATCTGGTTGTGTACCTGGTGTGTATCTGGTTGTGTATCCGTGTGTGTATCTGGTTGTGTACCTGGTTGTGTACCTGGTTGTGTATCTGGTGTGTATCTGGTTGTGTACCTGGTGTGTATCCGTGTGTGTATCTGGTTGTGTACCTGGTTGTGTACCTGGTTGTGTATCCGTTGTGTACCTGGTTGTGTACCTGGTTGTGTACCTGGTGTGTATCTGGTTGTGTATCCGTGTATATCTGGTTGTGTACCTGGTTGTATACCTGGTTGTGTACCTGGTGTGTATCTGGTTGTGTACCTGGTGTGTATCCGTGTGTGTATCTGGTTGTGTACCTGGTTGTGTACCTGGTGTGTATCTGGTTGTGTATCCGTGTGTGTATCTGGTTGTGTACCTGGTTGTGTACCTGGTGTGTATCTGGTTGTGTATCCGTGTGTGTATCTGGTTGTGTACCTGGTTGTGTACCTGGTTGTGTACCTGGTGTGTATCTGGTTGTGTATCCGTGTGTGTATCTGGTTGTGTACCTGGTTGTGTACCTGGTTGTGTACCTGGTGTGTATCTGGTTGTGTACCTGGTGTGTATCCGTGTGTGTATCTGGTTGTGTACCTGGTTGTGTACCTGGTGTGTATCTGGTTGTGTATCCGTTTGTGTATCTGGTTGTGTACCTGGTTGTGTACCGGGTATGTATCTGGTTGTGTATCCGTGTGTGTATCTGTTTATGTACCTGGTTGTGTACCTGGTTTTGTACCTGGTTGTGTACCTGGTGTGTATCTGGTTGTGTATCCGTGTGTGTATGTTTATGTACCTGGTGTGTATCTGGTTGTGTACCTGGTGTGTACCTGGTGTGTACCTGGTTGTGTACCTGGTTGTGTATCCGGGTGTGTACCTGGTTGTGTATCTGGTTGTGTACCTGGTGTGTACCTGGTGTGTACCTGGTTGTGTACCTGGTTGTGTATCTGGTTGTGTACCTGGTGTGTACCTGGTTGTGTACCTGGTGTGTACCTGGTGTGTACCTGGTTGTGTATCCGGGTGTGTATCTGGTTGTGTACCTGGTGTGTACCTGGTGTGTACCTGGTTGTGTACCTGGTGTGTATCTGATTGTGTACCTGGTTGTGTATCTGGTTGTGTACCTGGTGTGTACCTGGTTGTGTACCTGGTGTGTACCTGGTGTGTACCTGGTTGTGTACCTGGTGTGTACCTGGTTGTGTACCTGGTTGTGTACCTGGTGTGTATCTGGTTGTGTACCTGGTGTGTATCTGGTTGTGTACCTGGTGTGTATCTGGTTGTGTACCTGGTGTGTATCTGGTTTTGTATCTGGTTGTGTACCTGGTTGTGTACCTGGTTGTGTATCCGTGTGTGTATCTGGTTGTGTACCTGGTTGTGTACCTGGTTGTGTACCTGGTGTGTACCTGGTTGTGTACCTGGTTGTGTACCTGGTGTGTACCTGGTGTGTATCTGGTTGTGTATCCGTGTGTGTACCTGGTTGTGTACCTGGTTGTGTACGTGGTGTGTACCTGGTGTGTATCTGGTTGTGTATCCGTGTGTGTACCTGCTTGTGTACCTGGTTGTGTACCTGGTGTGTACCTGGTGTGTATCTGGTTGTGTATCCGTGTGTGTACCTGGTTGTGTACCTGGTTGTGTACCTGGTGTGTACCTGGTTGTGTACCTGGTGTGTATCTGGTTGTGTACCTGGTTGTGTATCTGGTTGTGTACCTGGTGTGTATCTGGTTGTGTACCTGATTGTGTACCTGGTGTGTACCTGGTGTGTATCTGGTTGTGTATCCGTGTGTGTACCTGGTTGTGTACCTGGTTGTGTACCTGGTGTGTATCTGGTTGTGTATCCGTGTGTGTACCTGGTTGTGTACCTGGTTGTGTACCTGGTGTGTACCTGGTGTGTATCTGGCTGTGTATCCGTGTGTGTACCTGGTTGTGTACCTGGTTGTGTACCTGGTTGTGTATCTGGTTGTGTACCTTGTGTGTATCTGGTTGTGTACCTGGTGTGTACCTGGTGTGTATCTGGTTGTGTTTCTGGTTGTGTATCCGTGTGTGTACCTGGTTGTGTACCTGGTTGTGTATCTGGTTGTGTACCTGGTTGTGTACCTGGTGTGTACCTGGTGTGTACCTGGTTGTGTCTATGTGCCTCTCGTAGCAGTACTCACGGAGAGCCCCTTCGCCAAGGCAACCGCACTTGGCCCTCGGATCTCGTTCCAGCTCAAGTTGAGCTCCTTCAGGCCAGAGCTCTCGCTGAGCAGCAGCTGCAACCAATCACCTGTCAGACATCGTCTCATGTGACACCTGTGACTATTCAGCTATTGACACAATCTGTAAAAACGGGCTTTAGAGCTCATAGGATTTCTCTAGTATGAGTAAAAATTCTGATTCAATGTGACACGTAGGCACTGTTACAATGTCTCTTGTACCCCCCATGATTCTAGGATGTCCCCTCTGTGTCCGTCCCCCCCGTGTCTTTGTGTGTCCCCGCCTGTCCCCACGTAGAGGTAGGAAGTTACCTGACCCGCGCCCCAGCTGGTTGTGAGCGAGGCTGAGCGAGCAGAGCGTGTGGTTGGTGGCAAGGGCTGTGGCAAGGGCGGCCCCCGTGGTGTCGCCCACGCGGTTCCCGTCCAGCACGAGCCGCGTCAGCGTCGCGTTCTCCAGCAGCACGGGCGCCAGTGCCGTGCCTCCCGCGTCGCCCAGAGCATTGTCCCGCACGTCCAGGTCTGCCGCCGGTGCCCGGTGTTCCCGACAAAGTAAAACAACAAGACAAAACACAGTTTTGTCCATGATGACCGTGGCATTGCCCTTGTCGGCTGAGAGGATTTTATTTTATAATTTTTATTCTTATTATTTTTCTATCTACGTGACTTTACCGAAAGAACCAAAGAACAAGACAAAACATCTCCTTCCTGTATCTGTCCCATCAGATAAAGTGTCTTATTGACACATCCCGTCGGCAACGCGGCCTTCTGGGAGTGCATCATTTCAGCGGCATGGTTCAACGCAAAGTCCTCGGCAGGATCAGACTTGCCGCTGAAGTTCCATATGTTTATAGGCAAGGGCCCTCCTTGTTAGATGGCAGTCCTGGTTCATCATTAACATGCGTTACCTTCAATATATCATCCGCATCTCTCCATGTTACCCATCATAACACGTTACCCCTGGTTATCCTGCTCGCCCAGCCTCGAATGTGACCCCACCTAGCACAGTTGCTAACTCCCCGGGCCACGGTCGCCACCCTTTCCCACTGTGGACTAAGCAAGGACGAATTTTTCCATTTGGCCAGCCCCGCCGATAGAAACCCCGTGCTAAGGTTCAGCACGGCAATAATAACGGTACCAGATATTGGCACAAACCGATTCCCGCCACCCGAACACAGATTCCAAATTTGCCGGACCTGGCGGCGACCCTCGGCCCACACTCACTCTGTACGGACACGTTCTCTCTCAGCATGTCCGCCAGGTAGACGCTGCCCATCGCTCCCGCACAGTTGTCCCGGAGGTCCAGGCTTGTCAGTGACGTGTTGCTGACGAGCGACAGGCACACGGCGTGGACGCCCTGCGCGGAGCAACAGGCGTGACGCAACGCCATGACGTGACAGGTTGCAACAAACGCACGGGTGGTGCCGTGACGCGACGGGCCGGGTGATGTCTGTGACGGGCCAAGGAAGTGGCGCTGATGGGTGAGGCCGATACGCAATGGGCGTTGCGGGTAAGCGATGGGCGAGGTGCTGTCACAGTGGGCAAGGGGGTGGCATGATGGCCGATGTGGTGGCACGATGGGCGAGGTGGTGGCACGATGGGCAAGGTGGTGGCACAAGGGGTGAGGTGGTGGCACAAGGGGTGAGTTGGTGGCACAAGGGGTGAGTTGGTGGCACGTGGGGCGAGGTGGTGGCACAAGGGGTGAGTTGGTGGCGCAAGGGGTGAGTTGGTGTCACAAGGGGTGAGGTGTTGGCACGTGGGGTGAGTTGGTGGCACGTGGGGTGAGGTGGTGGCACGTGGGGTGAGGTGGTGTCACGATGGGCGATGGGAGGGTGTCACGTGGGGTCCGTCTCGCCTGGGGCCCCAGGCCATGGTGCGCAAGGCTGAGCTGCGCCTCGTGCATGTGTCGCGAGAAGAACGACACGGGGACGAGACGCAGCTGGCGGCACGCCTCCTCGTACTGCGCTCGCGCCATGTGCACGCCCAGCGCACCGGCGCCACCCACTGCAACAACAATGTCCACAACAATATCGACAGCAACATTCATCGGGGTGCCACGGTGGCGCGATGTCATCTCCCTCGCCTGCAAGGACGTCGTGGGCTTCATCCCAACCCCGACGCCTGCTGTATACAGTCATACCTCGGTATACAACCGCTTTGGAATACGTCGAATTTGGTACACGTCGTGTTTTGACGAGAAAAAACATTTCTTGGGATACGACGTCTTGCTTGGGATACGACGTCTTGCTAGAACTTGTATGGGTCGGGATGAGCCACCGCGTACCCGCGTAGAGCCCGTTCACGACTGAGACAAGGCGCCGCTCCTCAGTCTGCCTGGAGATCTCGTTCAGTGCACAACCCTCTTGCTGTAGCTCTCTGTGAATTTTCACGTGCATTTATCTTAATGTATGTATGCATTTTAGTACTAAGTAGTGTCTACAATATCTTATACAACCACGTTAATGTATACTGTGCCATATAAAATATCATTTCTGATACTCTGGAACGGATTATTTCCTTTCCCTTTACTTCTTATGGGAAACATTCGTTTGGTAGACGTCACTTCCGGTATAAGTCCTCCTACCTTCTGGAACGAATTGACGACGTATACCGAGGTACCACTGTATATTTGGAGTTTGTGTGTTCTCCTCGTGGCCCTGTGGATTTGTCTCCGGATCCTCTGGTTTTTGCCTCCATATTTAGAAACATGAGTTTTAGAGTATTTGGCTGCTATAAAATTCCACGCGATAAGCCACTTCGTTCAGCTATCATTTGTGGGCAGCTTCTGAAAAAAAATTATATAGCTCAGTGGGGCCTTACCTGGTAAAATCAAACATCGTTTAATAATGTCAGCATCATCAATGTCATAGCTAAGTGCTCGTTCATAGAACTGAGCGAGGCTATCAGTGAAAATGTACCGCCAGTGGCTCTGTGTTGTGTGCACACACTCAAAGACAAAGATCCCCCGTATAGCTTTAACAGACTCTTGGGGCAAGTGCTGTTATCGAGTAGCAACTATGAAGGCTGGAACGGCACACGAGGGGGTGGGTGGCCTGACCATGCCCGACCGCCTTTGTCTCCCCAGTGGCGATGTTTACACACTTCACTAGGTACTCATTTGGTGCTGAGTAGACCTAGGGGAGGCCCAGAACCGGTTCAGATAATCTTCACTGATGTTGGCCATGAGTGGGAATAGAATCCGGGTCGACGGGTTCGTAGCGCAACGTGCTGACCGCTACACTACCGCTCCCCACACACACACGCACGCACACACACACACGCACACACACGTGCGCACACACGCGCACACACACAACAACCGCCATTCGCCACAAAGTGACGGTGACATCACCACGACGCTTGTGCCAGGCCATGTGCACGTTGAGGCCACGTGAAGTGTTGAACGCCCGCTGGCACGAGGTCACGGGGCAGACCCAGCAAGTGCCACGGTTTGACTGACTCAAATGACTGGCTGATGCACCACCTGTGCCCCCTATTGTGACAATTTGCTGTGGTTTAGCCACCCGGCGCTCCGCTCGTTGTTGTGAGCGTCGCTCCTCCGCCCTCCGTTCTTGTTGGAGGGCGACTGCCTCCAACTTTGCCCAGTAGGCAGCAGCAGCAGCAGCGTCCTTCACGAGCCTCCTCCTCCACAGAGGCCGCCGATGTTGACAGGGGCTTGTTTACCGGTCATCGGCAAGTCCACTCCGCTCTAAATCCACGCACACACAGAGAGCACGTGCTCGCACCTTCACCCTCCAGGTCGGTGTCCCAGCCCTCGTCCCCCTCAGCTCCATCGCCTCCATCGTGAGCGATCGTCCGCCCCTCGGTGCCCTCGCTCTCTCCACCATCCTCACGCGATCCTCCTCCACCATCGGGGCGCTCCGAATCGCGGAAGCCGGCACTGCGGCTCACCTCCTGCACCACCACCAACAACAACCACCACCACCCAGGCAGATCCACAGCCACCTACATCAACCACCACCACCAACAACAACCACGACCACCCAGGCAGATCCACAGCCACCTACATCAACCACCACCACCAACAACCACCACCACCACCACCCAGGCAGATCCACAGTCACCTACATCAACCACCAACAACAACAACAACCACCACCACCACACAGGCAGATCCACAGTCAGCTACATCAACCACCACCACCAACAACCACCACCACCACCAACCAGGCAGATCCACAGTCACCTACATCAACCACCACCACCAACAACAACCACCACCACCCAGGCAGATCCACAGTCACCTACATCAACCACCACCACCAACAACCACCACCACCACCACCCAGGCAGATCCACAGCCACCTACATCAACCACCACCACCAACAACCACCACCACCACCCAGGGAGATCCACAGTCACCTACATCAACCACCACCAACAACCACCACCACCACCCAGGCAGATCCACAGCCACCTACATCAACCACCACCACCAACAACCACCACCACCACCCAGGGAGATCGACAGCCACCTACATCAACCACCACCAACAACAACAACCACCACCACCCAGGCAGATCCACAGTCAGCTACATCAACCACCAATAACAACAACCACCACCACCAACCAGGCAGATCCACAGTCAGCTACATCAACCACCAACAACAACAACCACCACCACCACCAACCAGGCAGATCCACAGTCAGCTACATCAACCACCAACAACAACAACCACCACCAACAACCACCACTACCACCAACCAGGCAGATCCACAGTCACCTACATCAACCACCACCACCACCACCCAGGCAGATCCACAGTCACCTACATCAACCACCACCACCAACAACAACAACCACCACCACCCAGGCAGATCCACAGTCACGTACATCAACCACCACCACCAACAACAACAACCACCACCACCACCCAGGCAGATCCACAGTCACCTACATCAACCACCACCACCAACAACAACCACCACCACCCAGGCAGATCCACAGCCACCTACATCAACCACCAACAACAACAACCACCACCACCCAGGCAGATCCACAGTCACCTACATCCACCACCAACAACCACCACCACCCAGGGAGATCCACAGTCACCTACATCAACCACCACCACACAACCTATACACTGCACGAGACAAAGATCCCCCGTATAGCCTTAAACAGACTGTTGGGGCAAGTGCTGTTAGCGAGTAGCAACTATGAAGGCCAAAACGGCACGAGGGGGGTGGGTGGCTAGCACCACGCCCGGCCGCCTTTGTCTCCCTCGTAGCGATGTTTACTACACACCGCGCCAGGTACTCATTTGAGGCCGAGTCGACCTAAGCGGTGTGTGTGCACGTGGGGTGTGTGCACGTGGTGTGTGTGCACGTGGTGTGTGTGCACGTGGCGTGTGTGGCGTGTATGGTGTGTACACGTGGCGTGTGTGGTGTGTCTGGTGTGTACACGTGGTGTGTGTGGTGTGTACACGTGGTGTGTGTATGGTGTGTGCACGTGGTGTGTGTGGTGTGTCTGGTGTATACACGTGGTGTGTGTGTGGTGTGTACACGTGGCGTGTGTGGCGTGTATGGTGTGTACACGTGGTGTGTATGTGGTGGGTACACGTGGTGTGTGTGTGGTGTGTACACGTGGCGTGTGTGGTGTGTCTGGTGTGTACACGTGGTGTGTGTGGTGTACACGTGGTGTGTGTGTGGTGTCTACACGTAGCGTGTGTGTGTACACGTGGTGTGTGTGGTGTACACGTGGTGTGTGTGTGGTGTCTACACGTAGCGTGTGTGTGTGTGCACGTGGTGTGTGTGGTGTACACGTGGTGTGTGTGTGGTGTGTACACGTAAGGTGTGTGTGTGTGTGAGTACGCGTGGCGTGTCTGTATTCGTGGTGTGTGGTGTGTACTCGTGGTGTGTGTGGTGTGTACGTGTGTCTGTGTGTGTCTGTGTGTCTGTCTGTGTGTCTGTGTGTCAGTGTCTGTGTGTGTGTCTGTGTATGTGTCTGTGTGTGTGTGTCTGTCTGTGTGTGTGTCTATGTGCGTCTGTGTGTGTGTGTGTGTTTGTGTGTGTCTGTGTGTGTCTGTGTGTGTGTCTGTGTTGTACTCCGTACGCGATCGCTGACGCCGCCGCGGCTGTGTGGGTGGCCAGGCCGACTCGGGTGCGAAACGTCGTCCATGCCGAGCGGCCGTCTCTCACCCACCCCGCGTCTCAGTGTCACCCCGCCGAGTGTCACCCCCGCCGAGTGTCACCCCCCCGAGTGTCACCCTCCAAGTGTCACCCCCCACCCCGCGTCTCAGTGTCACCCCCGCCGAGTGTCACCCCCGCCGAGTGTGGCTCTGAAGCCTCGCGACTCGGCCTCGCCACGCGTCGCCATGGAGACGGCTCGCGCCTGTCCTCTGCAGGCACGAGACGGCGTTACACACCATCTGTTGCCCATGGCAACTTAAACTCGACATACACACCGTCTGTTACCCATGGCAACCTAAACTCGACATACACACCGTCTGTTGCCCATGGCAACTTAAACTCGACATACACACCGTCTGTTGCCCATGGCAACTTCAACTCGACATACACACCGTCTGTTACCCATGGCAACCTAAACTCGACATACACACCGTCTGTTGCCCATGCAACTTAAACTCGACATACACACCGTCTGTTACCCATGGCAACTTAAACTCGACATACACACCGTCTGTTACCCATGGCAACCTAAACTCGACATACACACCGTCTGTTACCCATGGCAACCTAAACTCGACATACACACCGTCTGTTACCCATAGCAACCTAAACTCGACATACACACCGTCTGTTACCCATGGCAACCTAAACTCGACATACACACCGTCTGTTACCCATGGCAACTTAAACTCGACATACACACCGTCTGTTACCCATGGCAACCTAAACTAGACATACACACCGTCTGTTGCCCATGGCAACTTAAACTCAACATACACACCGTCTGTTACCCATGGCAACCTAAACTCGACATACACACCGTCTGTTGCCCATGGCAACTTACACTCGACATACACCCCGTCTGTTACCCATGGCAACTTAAACTTGACATACACACCGTCTGTTACCCATGGCAACCTAAACTCGACATACACACCGTCTGTTACCCATGGCAACCTAAACTCGACATACACACCGTCTGTTGCCCATGGCAACTTAAACTCGACATACACACCGTCTGTTACCCATCGCAACCTAAACTCGACATACACACCGTCTGTTGCCCATGGCAACTTAAACTCGACATACACACCGTCTGTTACCCATGGCAACTTAAACTCGACATACACACCGTCTGTTAACCATGGAAACCTAAACTCGACATACACACCGTCTGTTACCCATGGCAACCTAAACTCGACATACACACCGTCTGTTGCCCATGGCAACTTAAACTCGACATACACACCGTGTTACCCATGGCAACCTAAACTCGACATACACACCGTCTGTTACCCATGGCAACCTAAACTCAACATACACACCGTCTGTTGCCCATGGCAACCTAAACTCGACATACACACCGTCTGTTGCCCATGGCAACCTAAACTCGACATACACACCGGCTGTTGCCCATGGCAACTTAAACTCGGCATACACACCGTCTGTTACCCATGGCAACCTAAACTCGACATACACACCGTCTGTTGCCCATGGCAACCTAAACTCGACATACACACCGGCTGTTGCCCATGGCAACTTAAACTCGACATACACACCGTCTGTTACCCATGGCAACTTAAACTCGACATACACACCGTCTGTTGCCCATGGCAACTTAAACTCGACATACACACCGTATGTTGCCCATGGCAACTTATACTCGACATACACACCGTCTGTTGCCCATGGCAACTTAAACTCGACATACACACCGTCTGTTGCCCATGGCAACTTAAACTCGACATACACACCGTCTGTTGCCCATGGCAACTTAAACTCGACATACACACCGTCTGTTGCCCATGGCAACTTAAACTCGACATACAAACCGTCTGTTGCCCATTGCAACTTAAACTTGACATACACACCGTCTGTTGCCCATGGCAACTTAAACTCGACATACACACCGTCTGTTGCCCATGGCAACTTACACTCGACATACACACCGTCTGTTACCCATGGCAACTTAAACTCGACATACACACCGTCTACTTAAACTCGACATACACACCGTATGTTACTTATGGCAACTTAAACTTGACATACACACCGTCTGTTGCCCATGGCAACTTAAACTCGACATACACACCGTCTGTTACCCATGGCAACTTAAACTCGACATTCATTTCTCACCAGCTTCAGTTTTCAGTTTATTTATTTTGGTATAGCCCTGTGAGCCATTCGGCTCTTGAATCGGGTGCAACCACAAAAAACACATGAACAAGAAAAACATCTTGAAGTGACTATGTGACTGTGCAAACAGAAAATCCATGAAAAAAAACAGCTAAATAATCCTGAAACAAGCACCGTACACCAACGCTGTGTGCAAAAAATCCCAGTGGGATGCAAGTCAAACAACAACAACAACCACAAGAAAACTTAGATTAAGGCCATCAGTCTAACTCCGTACTACAACAAAACAAACATGTCCAAACCAAAAAACGTTTTCGAAATCACCAAAAAAATAAAGCCATAATTGCAACGCAACAGTGATCACAGGGACTGACCGAATTTTTACAATAAACTACATAAATAACATGTAACACCAAATCCTAGAGCCATAGCTGGCTGCATGAGTTACTCCACAACAATAGAAGCATCAGTCGGAGTATCAAATTTTTCAATGCACCTTTAAGATCAGCACGCTAAATCAAAATACATATAATACTTTGCAGCATCATCCGGAGCGAAAACATTTTATTTTATTTTACGCCAATGAATAGCAGTGGCAGCTAGGGGTGTACAACTCCTCTAGAGAAGTTTTGATAGAAGATCTTATTGGTAGCGATTCAAGTTGCAGTTTGGCAATAGCATTCCAGACCCTGGGGGCATCAATAGCAAAGGCCCTTCCTCCAGTTTGTGTACGGCAATAGGGAACGTGAAGCTGGTAAATGAGCGAAGACCTGAGGTCAAATTTGTTCTTTGAAACAGAGAGGAGATCCAGCAGGTAGTCTGCGGATTGTTTTGTAAGTACATCGTGAATAAATAAGATCTGGTGCACAAGCCGTCGAACATTAAGAGATGTTAAGTTTGACCCAATGTAGAGATCACAGTGGTGAGTCCTATATGGGCAGTTCAATGTAAATCTTAAGGCCAAGTGATAGATGGAATCAAGCTTCTTCAGTACAGTACTTGGGGCTGATTTTTACACGATGTCACAGTAGTCAAGTAGAGGCAGTATGGTAGCTTTTATCAATTCTAAACGGAACATTGGGGGGAAGCAGTGCTTGTGTCGATACAGAAAAAATATTTTGTCTTTTTACCAATATAATCAATGTGATCTTCAAAATTCAGTTTTGAATCCAGGATGACCCCAAGATACTTATAGATCTTGACTTGCTCTATTTGATAATTATTTAAGGAATGTAATTGGGGGAAAATAACTTCCTGCTTTAGTCCTGGTGAGAAGCATAGCCCCTTGGTTTTGGAGGTATTCAGGACTAGTTTAAGAGCAACTAGCTGATGTTGTAGTTTGTTGAAATCACCCTGTATCTTAGCAATCACGTCATCCGGAGAGCGGCCAGCAGTAATCAGTATCGTGTCATCTGCAAAAAGATTTACCCTGGCATGATCCAGGTCAGTGCCCAAGTCATTGACATAAAGAGAGAACAAAAGGGGGCCGAGGATGGAACCCTGTGGAACCCCTTTTGTTATCTTAACACTGTTTGACCTCCAACCATCTGTGAATACAGTTTGGGTGCGAGAAAAGAGGTAATTTTGTAACCATTTTACTGCGTTTTCGGAAAAACCGAGGCAACTTAGTTTACTCAGCAGGGTGTTGTGGTCTACTGTATCAAAAGCTTTGGACAGGTCTAGAAAAAGACAGGAACAGTACTGCTTATTTTCAAGGCTACTGTAAATGTGATTCAGAGTCTAATGCAGCAGATGTGGTGCTCTATTTTTTTCGGAACCCAGATTATTTTAGATGTCGTAGATTGTTGGTGGACAGGAAACTGATAATTTGGTAGGTCAATAATTTTTCAAAAATTTTAATCAACGGGGACAAAATTGAGATCGGTTGGTAGTTATTTGGATCATCTTTAGGGCCCCCTTTGTGAAGTGGACGGACATAGGAATGTTTCCATTCTAGAGGAACTGATGCTTCCTTGATGGACAGGTTGAAAATATGGGCTATAGGTTTGTATATTAGGTGACCAACAGTTAGTAGAGCAAAGACGGGAATACTATCTGCTCCGGTAGAGGACCCTTTCAGGTAGGACAGTTGTTTCAGAACATTACTTTCGTGGATTGGCTGGAAACTAAATTCGTTTAATGTTTGTACAGGGGTGTAGGAATTTGCATGAGCAAGGGTGACTCCCAATACATTATCAAAAAGATTACTAGCTTCAGAAAAATGAAGGTTAAAATTGTAAACTATATTTTTGGTATCTGAAAAATATTCCCCATTTTGGTTAAGCTCAACAGGCAGATTGTCTGTTTTGAATGCTTTTTCGATACATTTGATTGTTTTTCAGAAAATCCTGGCGTTTCCATGTGATTCCAGGAGAGTGGAGGAAAAGTAGGCATTTTTTGCATGCTGTATTTTTTTGACGCATCTATTCCTTAAAATCCTGTATTCTAGCCAGTCATTGACCAAATTACTTTTCTGAGCACATGCCCAAGCCTTGTCCCTAGTTTTCATGAGCTTTGTAATCAAAGGATCAAGCCATGGTGGGCGGTTGCCTTTAGTTTTAAATCTAACCAACGGAGCATGTTTGTTAAGAATTTGGAGAAACGTGTTCCTGAAGGTCTCCCAAGCCGTAGTCAGGTTGGGGATATCACAGACCTTGTAATTATCCGAGTGAAGCACATCATTAGTAAATGCCTGAGTGCTGAAGTGTCTCATAGAGTGCTTCTCAACCAATTTAGGGGGGGCTTTGGGTCTGGCTGATGATCTCACCCCAAAAATGAAGGAGTGATCACTAAGGTTATTACCCAGAACACCAGTCAGTGTGAAATTGTGAGGGACATTTGTCAATAGGACGTCAAGCAGAGATGACTGTAAACAAGGAGTGAGCCAGTGAACATGCAATAGTATTACGAACATAGATGGCAATTTCACC